CCAGCGCCTTACAGATTCGGAATACTTATATTCCCGCGACTAAAAACCTATTCCTCCGTTCGGACTGGAAATTTCACCGGCAAAATTGAAAAGAAAAACACTGTATCCCACCCCTCGTTCAGTTTGCACGAGCTGGCTGTTTGCCTGCATGTGCACGCGATGTGTGCACATCCAGGCTCTCACCTTATCCCCCCTTAGATGCCCGTGTGCCAGGGTTGCAGCCAAAAACTCACAAACATCAGTTACGCTATATGTATGCAGAGCATATATCTACAGCATACCCTTAGAACAATAGTGCTGCATTCCCACGACTGCTGGCCCTGCTGCCGGCGCTGCTGGCCCCGCTGCTAATCCTGCTGCCTGGCGGTGCGTCGGCTGGCTGAAGCTGCCGTAAGGATGAATCCAGATCCTGGTTCCGGTCTGGTGAGCCGCGCCAGCTGCTGGCAGCCTCCGCACATCCGAACGGTCTATGAATGTCGACTAGACATAAGCTAATGATATATTCGGCTGAAGGGCACAGAGAGAACAAAAGTCTGAGATCTGCACAGGGAGCTAATGGGACATGTCCGCAGCATAGCCTTCCGCGAATCTTCAACACCTTGTGGAGGGCTCAACACTCACACTTTGAAGAGCCCTGGGATACAATTGCAGACCGGCTCTGCGGCCAGGTGCTTTGCCCCATCCGGCACGCCAACGGCCCAGATGGCCGAGCTTTGCAATATTATACCCGCCCGTGTACCGGCTCGCCAAGGACCCGCAACGCGGCCTGTATCCGCCGCCCTGTAGCCAGCCCCCCAACAACACGTTCGAATCAGCATCCTCCTCGACCCGTCCCAAGCTGCGCACCAAGCGGCCCCCACCAGCCTTCCAGTGTACGCTGTCGCTTAGCCCCCTGCGCCCCATGCCAACTGTAAGTACGGCGTACGGAGATCCTGCCGTACATTGCAACGTGCAGCAGGTAGTGGTAATAATAATAACAATAACAAGGGAAACCTCCCACTGCATAAAACCATTCTAACCCTGCCGTCTGTATGATTCTTATCCCGCTCCTCAAAACTCCCAACCTCCCGCCAACAGTTTGCGTCCCTGCACCACCCGGTCTGCAGTTAGCAGGCCCAGGCCAGTCGCCCGCCGCCCAGCCTCACGCCAGCGGCAATCCGATCGTAAAACCTAGGTTGAGCTGCAACACCGCCCTTACCAGTGCCCTTAACATCTCCGTGTAGCCATTGGCCGCGACCTGTTGCTCAAGGTGTTGTTGCCTCTTCGTGGTCAATGCCCGGCCCGGCTAAATACGATTACAACCCTACGACCCACATACATAACTGCATATGCACACGCACTAGCAGGTACCCGTTGGTGCTCAGGCGGTATTGGGCGGCCCGGATCGACCCGCAAGATGGAATGCGTCGAGAACGCAGATAACACTTTCGTGTATGCAAAGATAAACAGACAAGACAACATCAATAGAGAAACAGAAGAAGCTGAGCAGCAGAAGCTGCGACCCCCTCCGCCAGCCATCCTCCGCTCATCTTCACAGGATCTTACGGGATGCTCTCTCAGCCCACCTCATTCCACAGCTCTCTGCTCAAGCACTTCAAGTTTTTGGGGGTTAAAGCTGCATAGAAGGTTTCGGGGAATGGCCATCAGATACCATCAGGAAGTATGCATGGGTATCAATTCCTGCGCCCCGTGACCATCCCCATACCTCACTTGCAAAAAAGACCACGTAGCTGGCGTTACTCTCCATCTCGCCTTACTCTCCTACCGTGCAATTCCATTCCTCTCATAAAAGTAAAGGCAAGCCCGAATCCCCCTCCTCACCAGTCCCCAAAACCCAACCGTCCTTGTTTCGCCCCTCCACCTCAAATCCATTCACCTCAAATGCCGCACACCACTCACCGCTCGAACACCTGCCTTCCCATCTTGGATCTGCCCACCTTCCTGCCTGCCTGCCTGCCCCTCATCCTCGCCGCCATACGAACCCCCGTCCTACCCACGTACCCACCTACCTCTACCTCTATCCACAAGCCAACAACAAAACAAGAATCGAGAAGACAACAGCTTCAAAACTTCAACACAGGCGTTCAATCTTGGAAAATGAAAGGGACATCACCATCGGGGTGTGCACCTTTCCCAACAGGCTCTGTCATGTTAACGTACGTGCATTCAAAAAATGGTGTGCACACACCACACAAGAGTCAGCGTCTACCGGGGGCGCTCTCACCAGGGACATCTCCACACTTGCCCTCTACATAAGCCCACCTGCCAGTCAGCCAGCTACAGATACAGGCCGGCTACAACACCTACTACCCAGCTTTTCCCTAGCTGCTCTCTACGAGGCCCCTCCATGGCCTGTAGTACGCTGCCGCTTAGACCGGCCCGGATCCCGCTGACCTGCCGCCGCGTCCCGCAGCAGCCGCCCCGCCTCCTCACCCCGCACGCCAGGTCCCGGCCCGCAGCTAGCCGGCCCCAGCCCGTCGGTGCCCGCTGCCCCGGTGACGGCGTTACCTGCACCGTCGGCGGCTTCCCACGAGTACCCCGGTGCCGGCCGCAGTGCCGCGCGTACCGGCGTCGATGTCTCCGTGTTGCCGGTCGTCTCACTGGCAGAGGCGGCAGAGCCGCTGCGGTGGCTTCGGCTGCCGCCATTACGCACGGCGCCGTTGCCGCAGGGGCCGTAGGCCTGCGTGATGCTGCCGGCGGCAGCGGCCGGCGGCCCTCCTTCCTGAATGCGCGAAGCTGGACCTCGGGGCCTTATGGCGTCCGCCATCCGGTTCACCAATGCCTGGGGGCACCGGCAGTGGCGTACATACATACATACATACACCAGGGAAGGGCCTTACGCAGGGTCTGTTGCTGCTGCTGCCTCGCAAATGTTTGTTTTGGGGCCATCCACGATACGACAGGGTACTGCTGTACAGCTCACAGCATTAGGACCATCAAAACACGACTAAAAAGCATGACCACCATCACCAAAAGCAGTAGCACCAATGCCAAACGTCAATTTAGCAGAGACCAGCAGCACACCACCAGTATCACCCGCGCCAAGCACCGACACCGGCAGTCTTCCCCCCGGCCCCTTCCCCTTCCCCTGCCCCGCACCTCTCGAGGGAGCTGCGGCAGGCACCCCATCAGGCCCGACGGCGCTAGTGGTGGCTGCGCAGCGGCTGCAGCTCCGGAACCCTCGGACTGCGGTCTCCGCGGTCGTACGGGGGTGGCCAGCTGCACGGATGACCCGAACCTCCGGTCACACCAGTTTCGGAGCGCCTCCTCGATGGCCCTCGTGTAACGCTCGTCCTGATGCCGAGTGAACACACGAAGCACGCGCTCCTGCACGGCGCAGCGGGTTGGGGGAACGGGGACGGGGGGAGTTCGGGGGAGGAAGAAACAGCAGCGTTTTCGTACGAACATGTTTTCATACGGACCGGGTTAGGCTAGGTGGGATGAGGTGTGGTGAGGTGTGGTGAGGTGGGATGATGGGTTTTACGGGAGGGGCTAAACCTCGGTGTGAGGTTCAGACACTGCGAAATGGAGAAACGGGGGCGGACGTGGCACTCAGGCCCTTGCACAAGGTCACCTCGTAGCCGAGACCATTCCCGTACATCCAGGGCCATCCGGTCTCCTTCACACCAAACACACGCAACCACACGACACGGTCTCCCAAACACTCCCTCGGGACCCTTCCCACCCCCATTACCACACGCACACGCACACACGCACCTGAAAGAAGTGCGGCATGATGCCTACCACTTGGTGCTGTCCGATGTAGTACTTGCTGCGACTGGACGGACTCCGGAAGAACCCAACCTACCGAGAGGGGTGAGGGGTGAGGGGTGAGGTGAGGGGTGAGGTGTGAGGTGTGAGGTGTGAGGTGTGAGGTGTGAGGTGTGAGGTGTGAGGGGAGGTGTGAGGGGAGGGGTGAGGGGAGGGGAGAGGGGAGGGGTGAGGGGAGGGTTGAGGGGAAACGAACTTGGGTGTTCGCAAGTGTAGACATCTGGTGGTGATTCGGGTCCCCGTTGGCTCCACCCCCCCCTCTTGCAAACCCTCCTCCCCGCCCCGCCCCTCCCCTCCCCTCCCCCTCCCCGCCCCTCCCCCTCCCTCCCATTGCCCCCTCCGTCCTTACCCTCTCCGCAGGGTTAGCTCCCCCCATGGTGTGGTCTATCTTGTTCTCGTCGCAGACGACGTCGTCCGGCTGTAGGCCCCCCGGTACCTCGGAGCCGTTGTAGCACGAGGCCACCTCAGCCGGGGTGAACTGCCGCTTCATGGACTGTGCAGGGGGGTAGGTAGGGGTGGAGGTGGTGGTGGAGGTGGAGGTGGTGGAGGTAATGGTGGGTTTGGGGTGGGGAATCTTAAGGGGTTAAAAGGTACGGGGTGCGGTGCGCAGGTTAAGAGTTGAGGGAGGGTATAAGAATGCGGCGGGGGAAGGAAGTCATTAAATTGGAAACGTTAAAGGAGGTTGGGCCACAGGTAAATAGACAAGCTTGTGGTGGATGAGGTGAACCTTGAACCTGCCCTGATTCCCCCCTTCCTGTCCTTAGCTTTCTTTCACCCCCCGCAGACATCTCAACCCTCCTCCCCTCACCTCCCAGCGGCTGTCAGCCAGGTACTCGGGCGGCACCGTGAACTGGTTGCCAAAGCGGTACAACTGCCGAGTACGGATCAGCCGTACAATTTCCTGAGCCCGGGTCAGAGCCTTCTCCTCCACATCGCTAAGGTGTCCCCTGGGCATACACATACATACATACGTGCATACATACGCGCAATGCACATAGCGCAACATCGAACCACGCTTCGGTATTTGCTGCACAAGTCAAGTTTTCGTCGTACATCACAGCGCACCCCAGGAAAACTGGAAACTGCCGGACGCATCGAAATACGCGACATGCGAAGCTAGTTCATCTGCCGGGGTCCAGCCTGTCAGCCGCCGGGTGTGGACGGCGGGGTAGGCCAAGGCCGTCCCTCAGGGAGTGGTGCGGAGCGGGGGGGTACTTGCCTGTAGTTCTTGTGGTAATGCTCAATGGTCTGCAGGACGGCGAAAGAGGTGACATTGTACGGAGGTGGCGTTATACGGAGATGGCGTTGTAAGGAGGTGACATTGTACGGAGATGGCGTTGTACGGAGGTGGCGTTACACCGGCTCCGCGACAGCGCTTCAGGGGGTTTGTAGAGGCTCCCGACCGGCAGGCGGGTCCGGTCGAAGCAGGTGGTGGGTGGGTGGGTGGGTGGGCGAGGTGCGCGGGCAGGGCAACATGATGGGCGCAGGGCCGCCCTCCTCCCCCTGCCAGCACCCACTCACTCACCCACTGCCACCGAGCTATTCCCCCCCGGCCAACTCACCGTGAGAAGGGAGTCGTCCAGGCTGAGGAAGTCCTGTGTGAGATGAGGAGGGAGGAGGGAGGAGGTGAGGTGCGGGCCTGGATGTCTGTGTGACGTACCCGGTATTCATAGCTCTGATTTGGAAACAGATGGGCCGTGCCGTATGTTGCGGGTAGTGAATGGAGACAGATGCAGCGGTCTATAACCCGCGCCCTGATCGCGCCCTGGCCCCCTTCATCTCCCTCCACCGCCCTGCCCCCCTCCCTCCCTCTCTCCCTCTCTCCACCCCCACCCCCAACC